TTAAACCGGGTGGCTCCTTCGAGGCAAGGATTCTGAGGCTCCGTCTAACATACTTTGGACATGTTGTGAGGAGAGACCGGTCCTTAGAGAGGGACATTATGCTTGGGAGGGTGGAGGGACGGCGCAGGAGAGGAAGGCCCTCTATGAGGTGGATTGATTCAGTGACTGGAATAACTGGGATGGGAGTGTCAGAGGCAGGCGATTGGCACAGGACAGAGATGAGTTTACGGCTGTTATACATTGGATTGCTATGAGTCGCAAGCAACTCGATGGCACATAACAACAACAACAACAACCACATTAATTTTTAGTGGTAATTTTTTAAATTTTATAAACATATGTTAAAGATATCTAATTTTTCAACAAAATTCACACACGCAGATCATAGATTTTAATTATACTCATTGTACGGTTGAGCAAGATTCTTGCCTGTTACAAATTATGACTTACACTTTAATGGAAATGTCAATGTCCCCTGAACATTGAATCCCCTTGTTCCCCTCATGTCCACCCGTGTCCTCCAGGTGAGTACTTATACATGAACTCTACACACTTGCCTATTGTATATGTGTCATATTAATGGGATTATCCATTGTTTTCCCTTCAATGACTGATTTTTTTTTCACTCAGTACAATGTTTTGGGGCTTCATCCACATGGTGGCATGTAACAGGACTTATTTTTCTTTGTGAATATAACATTATATTGTGTGTGTTACCATAATTTGTTTTTCCATTCATCTGCTGATGGATATTTAAGCTGTTTCTTTTTTTAGGGTATTGTAAATAGTTCTGCAGTTAACACTGCTGTTGTTGCTATTATGTACCGCTGAACTGGAACCAACTCATAGCTGAGCCTCCAGCAGGTTTTTTGAGGCTATAAACGGCCCACAGGAGGCTACTGCTCATCTTTCTCTCACACAGCAAACACCAGAGTCCAGACAGGTATTTGTGCTCTTGTTTTTAATTGTTTTGGGTATATACTTAGGAGTAGAACAAATTAGACCTATGGGTGTTGTTAGGTGAGTTTCAGTGACTCTAGGAACAACAGATCTGAACCCTATCCTATCCTGTGCCATCTTCACAATTTTTGACACACTTGAGCCCACTGCCACAGTCGCTGTGGCAATCCAGCTGGTTGAGGGTCTTCCTCTCTTTCACCATCCTCCCACCTTTCCAAGCATGATGTCTTTCTCCAAGGCAGGGTCTTGTCTAACAACATGCCCACAGTATGTGAGATGAAGTTTTACCGTCCTTGCCCCCAAGCAGCACTCTGGATGCACCTCCTCCAAGGCAGACCTATTTGTTCGTGGAAATCCATGGGATGTTGAACACTCTTCTCCAACTCAAAGGCATCAGTTTTCTTCTGTCATCATTATTCATTGTCCAATTTTCAGCAGGAAAATAGGAAGTGATTGAAAAGACCATGTTCTAAATTCTCAAACACCACTGCTCCTCAGTGATTTGGAGAGGTCCCTGACTACTGACTTTACCAGTGCAATATGTCTCCTGATCTCCTGACTGCTAGCCCAAGTGTATTGATTTGGATCCAAGTAAGATCAAGTTGCTGACAGTTTCAATCTTCCTCCATCTATCATGATATTGCCTGTTGGTCCAGTGGTGAGAATTTTTGTCTTCTGGATGTTATGATGCAATCTATTTATTGAAGCTTTGATCTTCTACAGCAAGGGGACCTGTGATATTATTGTTGTTTCCCATCAAGTCAGAACTGACCCATAGCTGACCCTCCAGTGGGTTTTCAGAGGCAGTTAATTGCACAAGAGGAGACTGCCCTTCCTTCTCTCACAGAGCAGCTGGTGGATTTGAACTGCTCGCCTTCAGGCATGCAGCACAGTTTCTTACCAATAGAACACCCTTTTTACATTAAGAAATATTTTATAAAGTAGATAAAACAACTATGATATATCATCTCACCCCAGTAACAATAGCAAAATTCAAAAGAGGAGCAAACAACAAATGTTGGTGAAGTTGTAGAGAAATTGGAAGACTTATTCACTGTTGATGGGAGTGTAAAATGGTGCAACCACTATGGAAGGCAGTATGGTACTTTATCAGAAAGTTGGAAATAGAAATACCATTTGACTAAGCAATTCTTCTACTGGGAATATACCCCAAAGAAACAAGACCTGCCACCCAAACACATATATGCACACCCATGTTGATTGTGGCTTTGTTCACAATAGCAAAGAGATGGAAGCCGCAATGAATGGATGGAGAATCTGTGGTATGTTCACACAATGGAGTAGTACACAGCAGTGAAAAATAAGGAACTCATAAAATATATAAAATGGTCGACCCTGAAGGACATTATGCTGAGTGAAATATCTCAGTCACAAAAGGACAAATACTGCATAATGTCACTGTTGTAGAGTGGGACTGACATGGACATTGG